ATCCGGATACGGACGCCGCCTAATCATATATATATATATATATATATATATATATATATATATATATATATATATATATATATATATATATATATATATATGGTTGGCGGCATCCGGTTTCGGATTTGCCTGTCACTGTGGCAAGCCACAGGACGCCTGCGCCTACAGAGGGACCATGGATGGCTTGCGCTGCACCGCCCACAGCTCCAACCACATACCCCATATCCAGTGTAAACCCGAAGGAATAAGACCGGGAGGCATGTGGATGGGAACCACGTTTCATCAACGGAGCCGGCCCACACTCCTTCACAGGCAAACACAAGCACGCTGTATTTGGGGAATCAACCGCACACAAGGCGGTGGCTGGACCGTAGTCCGCTCCACACTGAGTGCATGGAACCGCTCTTTGAGCCTAGCACGGCCACAAGAACCGTGCACCCCGTCCCCTCCAGCAACGACCAACTGTCTCCTGGAGCCAGTATGAACGATGTAGTGGGTAATAGACAGGTAGGCACCTTGTCAACATACACATCAGCCGCAACCATACCAGGTATATCAAACAACAGCCATTCACTTTAAACGACAAGCTGAAATAAAATAAATCCAATAATGCATACAGATACGGTGGCATAACTCTTCGCTAAATTACCATATGAAGTAATTTGGTTAGCAACAAATCCGTGATAAGTAAGAAATGTCCACAAGTTAATTAAAATGCTACGAACGCAACAAAATTACAGAAGATAAGCGCAATTAGTGTAAGCAACGTGGCCAGTTAATAGAACATTATTCACGGGAGGCAGAACAAACCAAATAAAGCGGAATGAAATTTATCCAGCTTAAAAAGACCTAGTTTAAGTGTAAGTTGGTTTAGCCCAACTGCGGTGAAGAAGCATCAAGAATGCAACATCAGCCTCAGCATGGGGCACAAATATATATATATATATATATATATATATATATATATATATGCAGAGGTCTACGAATAGACATAATGCCATCAGAAACCATGTGATTCAAACGAAGGTACAGAAATAGTAAGGGAAAACAACACAGCTATGTCCATGGTTTCGTCAGAGGGCGAGATACTACCCGGTTGCCCAAGCCGAAGTAGGGTGTTGACTTAGGGGATACTACCCCAAGCCTTTGGCTGAATAGCCTGTCCGCAAGGCAGCGGAGCGAATTCAGGAAATCGCACCCATTGGGATCAACACATAGGATACTATGTTGTGTTGATGAGGGAATTGATGAATTTACCTGATTTGGATGTTTTAAAGGCTCATGGAGGACAGTCGCTGACGTTAATGCGGAAAAACAGTGTCTTTGGTGGCGTTAATTCGTCGCATCTTTCAGACCGAAGTCCAGGAGAACAACCATGTGGTTGACTCGAGAGTTCACATGACATAGATTGCAGCCCGCATCGTTAATGCATTTACCGTTACCTTTTCTAATCAAGCTAAGTGATATTGAGTTAACTACTCAATACGACTCTGGCCAGTGAAAATCACATCGAAGCTGTCTCGTTAACGAGGATTTGCTGGTGATTGTGCATTGTTGGCAAAGTGCAAGTAACCTGATCCTGAATGGCTACTTAGAGAGCTTTAGGCTGCATGGTAGATTCCCTCTCCAGTTGCTGTTCTTCCTGTTCAGCAGAGCCCCTATGATCGAAAAACAGTGAAGTCTCACCAAAAGGGTCGATAGTAGAAATACGTGAGAATATTTGTAGCTCGGGATGCGGATGAGGGTATGCGGGGGTTCTCCGGGATGGCTGATTTGCCTGCGAACGTTTCATCATCAGGCTAAACGACATCATCAGTGCGATTTTTACGGGCCACTTACAGATCCACGTGAGCTGACCGTGTAGTCAACTCTTGCGCCTCAATGACGTTCCTTTGTCCTGTTGATCTGGGGCAGAGTATTGTTTTGACCCTCAGTGCTTCATAGGCAGTATCATGATCTAAATGTCTGTTGATTGAGTTCTTCCCCGAGTACCAAGCCTCGATGAACTCGCGTGCTTTTCGGCTTTTAGCTCTGCCTATGATCCTGACATTCTCTAAATCAAACTGATGATTCTCGGCGTCCATATGTACCGACATCAGGGAGTTCTGGTCATGTCGGCGGATGGCTAGGCTATGCTCATGTAGCCTAGTACCGAGCTTTCTTCCTGTCTGGCCCACATAGTATTTGTTACAATTTTTGCAGTGGATTTTGTAAATCACACCACTTGTTTCTTCTTTGCCAAGCCGGTCCTTGACATTAAAGAGGTTGTCTCCGATGGTTCCTGTCGGCTTGTGAGCAACTCTGATTCCGAACGGTAGTAGTAGTCTCGCCGCCATCTAAGAGACGCCGTTTTCGTATGGTAGAATGATTGTCCTTTTATCCGTTTCTGATGTTTGTTCATGCGTCGGTCGTTTTATTGATGTTAAACAACGTAGAATGAAATTCCTAGGATACCCATCCTATGTAAACATTTCGAACAGATGAACTTCCTCCCCTTTCCTCAGCTGCGGGGTGCTGCAATATGTCTGCGCTCTTTTAAATAGAGTGGTTACGCAGCTGCGCTTGTAGACTGTCGGATGATTGCTGCGATAATTCAGGATTTGGTCTGTATGCGTCGCTTTCCGATAAACTGTTGTCTCCAGTTGTCCAGCAGCATGTTCTTTTACTAACACATCCGAGAATGGTAGCTGACCACAGCTCTCTTCTTCGTTAGTGAAACGGATACCAACAAACGTGTTGTTTATTAGCTGATGTGCTTCTTCCAGTTTCGAGCGTTTTAGGATGACAAAAGTATCGTCCACGTAGCGCAGCCAGAGTTTAGGTCTTGCGACCGATAGTGCGGTTTCCTCCAATGCTTGCATCACCGCTTCGGACACTAGCCCAGACATCGTTGAACCCATTGGCGTGGCTGTTATTTGTTCGTAGGTTTGGCTGTTGAAACTGAAGTGTGTCGTGAGGCATAAATCCAACAACTCCATCATGTGGATGGCATCTAGTTTATTGTTCGTGTCTGAGGATCCGCGTTGGTCTAGTAGTGTTGCCATCGTTTGCTTCGCCAGCTTGGTGTTGATTGAAGCGAACAAAGCTGTTACATCAAAGGAAACCATGATTTCGTCCTCTTCTATTACTGTTTCCCTGAGCTTCGCCAGGAATTGTTCTGCAGATTGGATGGAACGTTCCGAGCCAGAGATCAGATGCTTCAATCCCTTCCAGAGTTCCTTGGAGCTCCAGGTAACGACACGACAGGGTATCCCAGGAATTTCATTCTACGTTGTTTAACATCAATAAAACGACCGACGCATGAACAAACATCAGAAACGGATAAAAGGACAATCATTCTACCATACGAAAACGGCGTCTCTTAGATGGCGGCGAGACTACTACTACCGTTCGGAATCAGAGTTGCTCACAAGCCGACAGGAACCATCGGAGACAACCTCTTTAATGTCAAGGACCGGCTTGGCAAAGAAGAAACAAGTGGTGTGATTTACAAAATCCACTGCAAAAATTGTAACAAATACTATGTGGGCCAGACAGGAAGAAAGCTCGGTACTAGGCTACATGAGCATAGCCTAGCAATCCGCCGACATGACCAGAACTCCCTGATGTCGGTACATATGGACGCCGAGAATCATCAGTTTGATTTAGAGAATGTCAGGATCATAGGCAGAGCTAAAAGCCGAAAAGCACGCGAGTTCATCGAGGCTTGGTACTCGGGGAAGAACTCAATCAACAGACATTTAGATCATGATACTGCCTATGAAGCACTGAGGGTCAAAACAATACTCTGCCCCAGATCAACAGGACAAAGGAACGTCATTGAGGCGGACTCTAGCCAACAGTACACAAGAGCTGACTACACGGTCAGCTCACGTGGACTACTAGACTCCTGACGTTCGAATCAAGTGATCAATAATCCCTTGGATGTGTAAGTGGCCCGCATAAATCGCACTGATGATGTCGTCTAGCCTGATGATGAAAGGTTTGCAGGCAAATCAGCCAGCTCGGAGAACCCCCGCATACCCTCAGGGTCGATATATTGTTGATATCGTTGCTTTGGTTCCAGAATCAGACCTGAATAACTGGGATATGTTTGTGAGCGGCCAATCGAAGTACTCGGATAAAAATCTAGTTGTGAATGTGTCACAATCCTCTGCGAACAAAACAAGGCAAAATCAAGGTTTAAGTTGCGGTTCGTGTCGCATCATAAGAATACGGGCTACCACAAGTCTACCCATGAGAGGTTTCCACATCGGTTTCAGGAAACTAAAGTATCTAGGGTTGTGATTAAAATTGAGCCGGAGTACAGTTAAGCAGCAAGCTGTACCCTAGGGATCCTAAGAAGCCATCAACCAAGGGACAAGTATTGTCAATAAAGATATGTTCTATCGAAACTATTTGATTGAGTGAGAGGAATCCTCCAGGCAATAGGATGGAATAAACAGCCGTGGTGTTATTGCGTATGTGGGTGGTCACTTCCCAGATGAGCCGCGGGGTAGAGAACGCATTAGGTCAAAAACCACTCGATGTATGATGAGTGAGCATGAAAAAACAACGTTGTGCCTTGGAGATGTAGAACCTAGTGGATGTCAAGGGCGAAAATTATGAGGCGAACTAGCCCCGAGAATGTGAACGTTTTCAGATGCAAGTGTGCTCATGAACGTTACATCGCAATGAATGAAAGGCGAAGAAAATGCCTGAGAAAGGCTGACCGGCCATCCATATTTTGTGGCTGGCAGGAACTATTAATAACAGTCATGCTGTGATATAGCAAGAGAACTATAAGATATAAGACTTGAGTTCTTAAGGAGGAAAACCGCTCCGTATAAGTACGATGCATATTTTCAGTGAATTGGACTACACTACTAACGTTGTTGTCATGAGGAAGGAGCCGCACTGGATGTCTGACAGTACGACCAACGTATAGACAGATGGCTGTAACTGTTCGAGGTTAAAAAGTAAAATGACGTAGGTGAGACTACACGTATTAATCAACTCACTTCACCAAGATAGGCTTTCGCCAAAGCACTGCCTGCCTCTGCCGCTACTGTGAAATAGTGAAAAGCCTTTGCAAAGTTTCTTTCCACACCATGTCGGCCGTAGTAATAGAATTGCCCCAAACCAACCTGAGCGCTGACATTCTTTTTGTCGGCCATAAATTGGTAATACTGGAACAAGTCTTCCGTTATTGTTAAGCCGCCGATAACAGTTTCTGCGGAGTTATCGCTGAAACTAAAAAGTCCACTGAACAGTCCAGCGTTAGCGTCCGCTTCGTCCAGTAACCTTACTCGTCGGACAATCGGCCCCATGTAGGTGGTGCCTACAGTCTGAGCTCTATCGGAAACTTCTTTCGCCACCTTCTGGGCAGCTCGATAGTAGAAAGTCAAGGCCGATTCACAATTCTCTTCGACTCCAATGCCGGCCCAATATCGGTAAGCCTGAGGAGGAAGAAAGTGAGTACGCGTGCAAGAGAAGAGAAAAATACAACGGGGTGGTACAGAAGAACAACCGCTCGTGTTAAAACAATAAAAGTAGCGGCGTAAAAGTGAAGCACACTAAGAATGTATAATTATAACGACACACAGTTAACATATTGCCGTGGAGTCGCGAGAAACAACCCAGGTGAATATACAGAAGTCCGAGTAATAAGATTCAACCAAATAGTCGCCTCAACCCATAAGTATGAGCCATCCAGCCTAGTGGCAGTGCAATGTTGCCCAAATACCGGTCGACTGCGAATCACTCGGAGATGAGAGTTGAATGGGAAATTCAATGGTGCAGATGGATGGACAGTCGCCACATATCAGGTGAAATGCTGAACGGACGTGGAAAGAGGGTCGTGAGTTCTGGACCCACACGAGGCACTTGGAATGCATGGTGTCGAGGGCTCGAAGGTTTAACTTTTAACATTCACGCACTGAGTTCGAGACCGCGCTTCTAAAGTGTTCTGGACGCTTTCGCAACCATGTGCAACCGCCTGCAGTTGCATGGCAACGAGACACTGATGTATAGCACTGAGGCGATGCCTGTCTACTGATGACTAAACTCTGGGGTAACCGCTGTCCAGCACCTTTGGATGTGCGACGTGTAAATCTGAATGAGTCTAGTTATGATAAATTCTATCCATGCATAACTCTAATCCGCGTGCTGCGCGAATGGATTTCGTGCATGATAAAACGATTCATGCTCCGACGATACACAAATTATAACTGAATTATACCCTGGGCTCTAGCACTTACTGCGTTACACCCGGTGAAAGCAGGCAACACAGCCGTTGTTTTTGAGTTAGTTGCGAGATCTGGATAAAACGATGACCGCTTCGATAAACAGTGGAGTACGCATTGGCTAACTCACAGCTGCTCACACGAAAATAGGCCGAACAATGGCCACACAGTTCGAGAACAGGGTCGTAAATTGATTAAATTGCTTGAAAGGAGCGAGGGAAAAACGGTACAGTGAGCACTTTGTAGCAGCAAAAGCTACTCACCATGGCCATTTCAGCCAATTCATCACCCCCAAGCGCACTGAAGGTAAGATAAATCAATGCGTGGGGAATACTGGCGTTAAGCAACAATCCAGAAGCGTACATCAGGCCGATTCCAAATTGACCTCTTGGATTGCCCTCTTGTGCAAGCTGCATAAATTCGGAATGTGCGCGAGGTAATGATTGATAAGGTCCCCAACCTAGAAGGGTTGCAAGTGCGACCCATTCACGAGCCTGGACGTGTCCGCGTTCGGCAACATCGTGGAGAACCTGGAAAGCACTGAATGGACAATGGGAAGAAACACTTTATAGGTTCATGGAACAAGGTGTAAAATGACATATACTTTTGACAAGGGAATATTGTGTTAAATGAATGACATGGTCTCAGTGACAAAAAGGGTGAGCCCAGAGACTCATGAGTGCCAACAGAGCTATTGTCAACCGGTTCAGGTGCATGTGTTTCAATTCCAAATTCGATTATGAGTACAGTTCTTTTGGTTTTTCCCCGTGGATCTTCTAGATCATTCCGTGTTTTATAGGTTTGATGATGATTTGGCGGCGTCCGTATCCGGATTTGCCCGTCACTGTGACGTCCATGGGGACAGTCACAGGACGCCTGCTCCTACAAAGAGGACCATGGGTGGCTTGCGCTGCACGACCCATAGTTCCACCCACACACCCCATATCCGGTGTAAACCCGAAGGAATAAGACCGGGAGGCATGCGGATGGGAGCCAGGTTTCATCAACGGAGCCGGCCCACACTCCTTCAACAAGCAGAACGGAAGCATTCCGGCCTTATTGGGAACTCATACACAACAGACGTACACGAGGCGGTGGCTGGACCGTAGCCCGTTCCACACAGGATGGAACCACTCTTTAAGACTAGCACCGTCACGAGGTTTAGGGGTATGGATACCAACCTCTAAGCACCGAGTTCGAGTCCTCACTATGGCGTTTTAGGGCGCTCTCACAGTATTTCAAATCACGTAAGACCACTTGAAGTTGTATGACAGCAAAGCATTGACATGGTGACAAAACTCAGCTCTTCCGTTGACCCGTAGCATTAGGGATCACAAGCTTGCCTTGTGATCTGAGGTCGCTAGGTGGAGCCTGCGTACAGACCAGGCGGCCTTCGCAATATCCTTAGCCCAGGTGCGACCGGTGGTGGTTGTGTGGCAGAGAAGCGTTGGTACGGCGTACTGCTGATGCCTTCCGTTGACATTCATGAACATCGGGACATAAAAACAATAACAGCTTTTTAGTGGAGCTCAATTGAGAGAAACAGGATTTAAACCAGCAATCGAATCATTAGACTGTACACAAATGCAGTTCAGTAATAGCATATTAGGGGTGGGGATAGGGGAGAATGTTGTACAGGTCACATATTTTGTGGCTTTTGCATGAACAAGCACCATAATATACAGCTTTAACAACCAAACTTATGGTGCAAATGTAAGTCGATCTGCAAAGTATAGGTCAGATTCACGAAGTGAGGTTCCTAATGAGATTCAAAATGGGTATCAGCCTCCAGAAGATGGAAAGAGAAAGGCTGAGTTCTGTTCACTGAATTCAGAACGGTCGCGATTAACCCAGTTGCTATGCTTAGCGCTACCATGAGAACAAGAACTTCGTATTGTAAAAGGAGAGAAACATAAGGAAGCCAATCGAGAAGTAGTAAGGGGGTTGGAATTGTCAGAGTCGAGGATTAAAAGAATCAAAGGAACAGTTTTGAGAAAGACGCCCACTAACTGAAGATTACGTGTTGGAAAGGGTCACTAATTACCCACCATTATTATTCTACACGCCAGACAGAGGTAAGAAACACCTCAGTGATTTTGTGCAATAAAACGACATTAAGAGTTTTAGAAAAGAACGCAACAATTAATCTTCGTTTCATTGTGCATACATGAGACATTGGTTGGGGAGAGGCTAAAGGATGAAGAAACCCACTACTAGGGCAACAGAATCCGAGATCTTAGCAAAGGTGAAAGATACACACTTACATCGATACCCTCGAACTGCACCAAAAAATAGTACCATCGGCATATCAGCAGTCTGTCGGTGGATAGACAAATAGAACAATCTGGCCGACAGACGAAAAAAATTCAGCGGTACTAGAGGTAGTCAGACACTAGCTGGTGAGTTAGCAGTGCTTGCCAGATGCTTATATCAGAAATGGGCCGGTAAATGCAATTAAATTCTCAACGACTAATTGTGACAGTCCTTATTCATGCAACAGTTGCTACGCTCTTTCTTGACTCATCAACATAATCATCAGCACGTTAGCCAGAAGTAAGAAACATCTCAGCTATGGTGCCGCAATACACGGGGAAAGAAGACAAAGACACAACTGAGACACACCAGTTGTGTCACAAGTAACGGATGGACATCGTTTCGGAGAGCTAGTTCCCGAAATGAGACCGTGGTTGGATGGGGAGGGATAAAGAAACTCCCAACATAAACGCCACTGACATCGGCTCCTAGCCATATGCAAAGCGTATTCAGCCAAGCGTGTTCATCGTCCATCGGATCCCAACCTGGGAGCCAAAAGATTCTAACCGAGGCCAACTTCGAACTAACGGCCTTCATTCCTCTCGACCAAGTCCTCGCTTGATCTTTTCTCTTCTTCTTCCATCCACACCCCCGGCGTGCAAACAACGCACGATGTGGGAGTCGGTGTTTTGGCATGCACAACACGTGGAGAAGCCATCAGAGCCTGGTGCGTGATATAATGGTGCCGAGCGTTTCACTTCCTGAAGTCGCTCACTGCCTACATGGTGTCCCGATCAGATGTGAGCCAAACTGTGAAAGTGCCGATGGACGAACGCAACTAGCGTCTTTACGTCTGTCGACCTAATGGGCCAGATTTCACAACCGTACATGAGAGCTGAACCTACGGCTGCATTGTAAACCCTACCCTTCAGGGAGATAGCGATGTCGCGATGCCGCCACAGGTACATAAGGTTAGCAAAAGCGCCTTCTGCTTTTGCTATACCGATTGTGACCTCGACTTTGATTGCACCGGCGCTGATACAACTGCATAGGTAGTTGCCTTTCTGAAGGACTTCGAGCTGATGCCTATCAAAGGTCAGCGCAGGAGGCGGTCCCTGCCAAACTTGAAGGAAGGTTTTGCACTTCAAGCGCGCAAAGCAGAGCCCGAAACGGTTGACAGCCACTACCAATCTGCCCAGCGCTGCTTGGCACGTTTGAGAGCTGTCATAGATTAGGGCAATATCGTCAGCATACTACAAATCAAGAAGTCGTTCACTTAAAAGCAACTCCACAACTACTAAGTCGTGTCAAGTGAATACAATTTCCATGACTTCGTCAATAGCGAAGTTGAAGAGAAAAGGTGACAGCGGGCATCCCTGTCTTACACCGCCGGAGATATTGAACGACGGTAACAGTTTGCCATAAACCTACGCTATGCCCGAGCTACGCGTGTTAAGCACTCTGATAATGTTAACATATTTATCGGGCACAACTATAAGTAGCAGACGGTCCCAAAGAACACGTCGATTCACCGAATGGAAAGCAGATTGGATGTCGAGGAACACGACACCGGTAGGCCGCAAATATATGTGACGGTGCTCCAAAAACTGACACAAAGTGAAGATGTGTTCGATGCAGCCCCGAGTTCGACGAAACCCAGCTTGTTCTTCAGGAGTCTGGCTTTCACAAGTTGCAATCAGTCTGCGAAGGATGACAGAGGCAAGTAACTTAGAGGCAATGGAGATCAGACTGATCGCTCTATGGTTGTCGCATTCCGAATGTGAGCCTCCCTTGAAGATCGGGACAATAACCGAGCGGCTTCAGTCGGATGGGACAGTTCCTGCTCCCACAATTTCAGTAATAACTAGTGTAAATTACCCACAAGAGTAGATCCCCGAGTTTGAAGAGGACTGGAGGTAGATCCTTTGGTCCAGCGGCCTTGTTCAAGTACAACAGTTTGATCTCACGTTCGACTTCTACGTGTGAGGGCGGATCCCAGGAAATGACCCAGGGAGAACAGCGACCAATGGCCGGTAGGGATATTTGACGATTCCGGCCGATTAATTTGCTTTTCAAAGTGCTCATCCCAATGCTAAAAGCGTTTTAACAAGTAGTGAATGGGCTGCCCAATCTCGTTGCATATAGTCTCACTAACACCATGTCTCCTGCTGCCAGTTTCCCGTTTCAGACGGAATATCTTACGATGGTTATGAACGCCAGCTGTCAATTCCATCTCCATCGCACAGTCTCTTTTCAGACTAGCAGGCAGTTTTGCTCTGAGGTCTTTGCGAATCACACTGTGTCCGCTTCCAGCCGGAACGTGCCGGCCAGCCTCGATGAGTTCCAGAAACTGAGTAGAGGGCCAAAGTGTATTTTGGTTATTGGATTCATCACATGAAGATTTGCCTGCTGCTAGTGATGTTTAGTGAACATGCGACAAGTGACCTACAACTGTGTTCATTGAACGCTTACTCAACCCGCGTGACAGCGAACTTCGATACGCATTCAAGACATCTGGCTTCGCAGTTGGCGGGTGTTTATGCGAGCATGCCGTCGTCGCGGGCGCTCGACAGAACGCGCCCGCAGATCAGCACATACAAGCGCTGCTAATGTCACCTGGAGGGGGTTGCAAGGTGAGCACAGAGCTGGAATATTGTAGGCGGGTCTCAGGCAGGCAGTAGGTATCGATCGAGAGGGTCTGCAATGTTCGGGAAAATCATGCATGTTGACCGACTCGTAACAATGTGCGTACGTTGAGGCATGCCAATTTGATGGAGGATCGAGGGTTCCAAATAGAAGCCAATGAACTGCGTTTGACTGTGGTTAGCCATGGGTTTGTCGATAAGTCAGGAGTGACGCTCCACGTTTGCATGTTGAAACTAGAACATAAACGCCTATCAACGCATGGAGGGAGACCCAAAAACGGAGGGTTGAAAACTGGAGGGTAGAAGTGAAGTTGGAACGGGACGATAAGGGTGAAAAAGCGTAAGGCGGGAAGGCTTGAGCAGTGGCATCCAAGCCCCTATGCATCTATCTCAATGCAGCGGACAGGGCGTCGTTGATTATCCTCTGCAGCGGTCAGAGCATTAATAAATTGTTTGGTGATAGATTCACTGTATTGCGTGGGCAGGATACTGTTAGGTCGCCCAGGCCTAGAGAACAGAAGGACTAGGATTCTCAGCTAAAGCTTGTGATACAAAAACCTGATCACAAGACAATGGGTTTGGCAGTAGGCTACAAAGAGTCTGCTTTAAGGAATAATGAGCCACCCACACTCCAACTCCTAA